ATAAACAGGAAAGGTGAGAAAGGATCTCCTTGTCTCAGCCCTCTCGTCGCTTGAATCTTCCCCTAGGTCTCCCATTAAAGAGAATAGAAAAATTGACCGACTGGAGGCAATTCCAAATCCAAGATCTCCATTTGAAACCAAAGCCCTTCTTTTCCAAGACTCTATCAAGGAATCCCCAGTCAACATGATCATAATCTTTTTCAAAGTCCAGCTTAAAAATAACACCCTCTTGCTTTCTTTTTTTGTAGTCTTCAATTGCCTCATTGGCAATGAGCACTTGGTCCAAAATTTCTTGTGGTCTTCAATTGCCTCATTGGCAATGAGCACTTGATCCAAAATTTGCCTACCTGCAATAAAGGTTCCTTGCATATTAGAAATAGTACTAGGGAGGACCTGCCTAAGTCTATCCGCTAAAGTTTTCGCAATAATCTTGTATAAGCTCGTTACAAGACTAATAGGCCTATAATCCTGAATCCTAGTAACATTTTCTTTTTTGGGGATTAAGCAAACATAAGTTTCATTCATGGATTTGTCAATAATCCCCCTCTCAGAAAATTCCCGAAAAACCTTCATCAAGTCCTCCTTAATCCTATCCCAATTATCCAGGTAAAAAGCCATGGAGAAGCCATCAGGACCAGGAGATTTATTCCTATCAAAACCGAAGACCACTTTTTTAATCTCCTCCAAAGAAAAAGGCTTCTCCAACTCTTCTCTATCTTGTCTCGAGATAGGGTTCCAATCCAACCCCTCCAAGAAGGGCCTCGGCCCAATCTGCGAAGCATAAAGCTTAGTAAAGAACGATACCACCTCCAAATCAATCTCCTTCTCCTCTTTCAAAAACTATCCCATTCTCGTTAATTAACTGGGTAATGACATTTTTGTTCCATCTCCCATTAGCTACCACATGAAACATCCTTGCGTTATTATCCCCATCCTTGGCCCAACTAACCTTGGCTTTCTGTCTCCAACTCACATCCTCTTTACGAAGGATATCTTCAAAAGCTCCTCTCATGGCCAACCTTTCCTCCCTAAGGTCTGACGACAACAAACCCTCCAACTCCAAACTGTCTAAGGTATTTAAACGAGCAAGAATTTCAAGCTTTCGCACCCAAATATCCCAAACTGTCTAAGGTATTGTTAATGAATTGCAAGAAAATATGCTACAGAGTGCTAAAATTACATTAGTGAAAGCCTCAATCATAATCCACAAGAAACAATCCAATTGATCAAGGACCACTTTTACACAGTCCCAAGAAAGGCATGCTCCCTCATTCTTGTAAATTCCTACAACCTCATATTACTTACTGGTGGAATACTTGGCAATCAGAATTTTTTTTAACAATACCAAGAAAAAAGTATCGAAAAGAAAAAATAGAATTGGAGCAAATCCTTTTCCTCGAAATATGCTAAAAAATGCTAAGAAATATGCTAGTGAAAGCTTCAATCACAACCCACAAGAAACAATTTGATTGACCAAAGACCACTTTTACATAGTAGTGCATTTTCTCCTAATTTACCCTTGAGACAAACATTCCTCCCATTCCTCTCCCTATCTAGTTATGAGAATTTTTTCCCTTACTAAAATACAATAGCATGAAAAATGTTAAATCAAGATTACCTCCAGGGCTGCTTGATAAATCAGCCTCTCATCACTTCCAGGTGCCAGTTCTTCACCATAACCAGGACGATAGGGGTGTTCACTCGGATACTGTGAAGATGGTATAGATTTCCCTGGTGCCAAACTCACAGGTAGGACCCTAAAATCCCTGTTCTCAGAACCAACAGCTTCATCACGAATTTGAATGCTGCCCAGATTGTCTACTAAGTTATTTGATTTAGTAGGGGGGGCATATGACTGAGAAGTATAAGGCAGAGTTCTCTTAAAAGCCTGTTGAGAAGATAATCTTTCATAATCTGCACCAGCTGTGGTTGCAATACGAGAATTCACAGTTCGAGGTAGACCAGCATTCCCATTTTCAGTAAGATATTTGGTATCACCATTAGAACCAGAATGCGGGCTGTTATTGACATTTAGAGAGCTTCTGCTGGAAGCATGAAACTGTCCAGAATTACCTGGAAATATGATAGTCAGTCTTTTTTTTCTTTATCAGAGTTCTTCTGAGAAAATATATATAAAAAAAATGTTTTCTTGCACAAAACTCAGTTTGACCTTGACTACTAGAATCTGTGGATGCCCAATGAGGAAGCTTTCTGCTGTGGCTAGATTCCCCAATACTAGGTGTAACATCTTCACCGTCACTGATATATTCTAGTGAGAAATCACTATCGGATGAACTAATTTCTATAAGGTTTGTCGTGGACATGATGGTTCAACAATAAGATCTCTCTTCTCCAACAAAATTTAAGAAGAAGCTACTGACAGATGAACCAAACTGCCACTGAAATCATAGAAGTTGACATATTATGAAGAAAGCCATATAGATAAAAAGCGACCCAATCATGAAATATCAACTGCTACCTTCACATACATATAGAACAAGCAGTTTCTGAAAATAAAGTTGCAAATCCATCTACTTACAAATGTGAAATGCTTCCAAGCTACATCAACGAATTCAGTCCACATGTTATAAATATTTTCAGATGGACCAGATCCACTAGCAGAGCCGTCTTTGTCAAAACATCCCTGCAAATACCCCAAACAGAAAAAAAAACAAACATCATATTGTTAGTTGAATAAAAAAAGATAACTTGTCAAAACATCAAGGATACAGAAATTTAAGAAGATCTACTGGCATGGATTGAAAAGATACTGCATCACTTCAACAAAGCCATTGCAACAAAATATACATCAGCGACATAAGTCATCAATTAAGAAGACTGAATGATATATGCTTCATTTACAAATAAGGCCCAGTTGGTAAAAAATAAACAAGATGAGATTTGAAGTAACCTGCAAGTTTTTCGGAAGTAGCAAGCCAGATCTACGAAAAACATTCACATGCTTGACAAACATTCAGAAACCCACTCACGCTTTTTAAAGCATGGGATAAGGAGCCAATGACGAAGGTAAAGAAGGAAGTGGAAAGGAGAGGGTAAAATTTAACTCCAGACATTACTCCTCGTATAGCCTTAGTTGTCATACCTCAAGTAGGACACATAGTCGTTAACAATCTACTGTAATTTCATAATTTCAATAGTGAAGCATCAAGTCTGTCGAGTATTATACAAGATCTTTCCAGTAGAGAAGAAGCAGGTCCTAGGATATCCCCGTAATGCAAGAAGGGTAGTTCAAATCCAAATCTTGAAGGGAGATTAAAGTTCTCCAGCACCTAAGAGGAAACCAATCAGAACATCGAATTCAAAAATTCCACTTCCAAATTGAAGCTCTCCAGCACATAAGTCGAAACTGAAATTTCTTAATTCATTTTCCCTCGTCTAAAGAACAGAATGCACTCCGCCCCAACCCCATTAAACCAGCCACTCGAAGATCAATAATTCCAAAACGGAAAAAACAAAAAAAAAATGTTGAACATGAACTTCTCAAATACTCAACCAACACATACAGAATCATCGAATGCAGAGCCGTAGCATGCATGAGTATAAACTAGTGACTAGGGTTTAAAATAACAAAAAGAATATCCCACAACGCAACCAACAGTACTCCGAGATTCACACATTGAAACCGGAATTGAAATGAACTGAAAACAACAACGAAGAAGACGACGTATGGGTTGAAAGGGAGAGGAACGTGAGGAGAGAGAATCCATACGAGGAGTTGACAGATTGCGGTTGCAGATGAAGAATCTTCTCCCTCCGTACTCGGTAGGGTTTGAGGTTTGAAGTTTCCGTTCAACGCCGAGCTGAAAGAGGTTATTTTTCTGGATTTCTTTTTTTCTTTCGTCACTTTTTTTTTCTCTCTTCTTCGGAATTTGAGACCCACGAGGAGTTAACGGCCGTGTGTACTGTGTAGTTTTTTTTCAGTCTTAATGCAGCAGGAGCAGTGTTCAAAATGTGATGAGAATGTCAAGGTACTGATTTTACGTATACATACGATGTTGATGGATATTTTAGAAAGTAAACTTTAATTATAAACTTTTCATGGCATGTGATGTTAATGGATATTGTAATAGGGAAATCAAATAATTATCGACTTGGTTTCCAAACACATTTCTAAATTCTAATTGACTCGTACCTGTTTACTTGTTACCTACTTCTCTTTTCAAATTTGAATTTACACATTTTTCAAACACATTTTCAAATCAAACAATCAATCCAACTTTTCAAGCAAATTTACACAATTTTCAAACACCTCAACCTCGTGATTGTGTCATTCATCTAAATTATCTCTGTGATCCATATTGTAATTTATATCAAAGTTATCAAGATAGTGTACTAGATCCTCCGAAATCATCTTTTTGGTATTAATTAAGTTATCTATTCTATTTCATGTTTCACCATTATTTGTATATAATAATATTTTATTTTTTTTAAATTCTAAGATTATTTTGATATTTATATATGTCAATATTTCACATATATTGTTAAATTGTGTAAGTAAGAAATAGATTGGATTAGAAATTATGAATAAAACAAATTCTAAATCTTATTAGTTATGCTTTATACCGTATTAAAAGTTGAATGTTTCATTGAACATACTAAGATTACAATCGAGGTTGTGAGAAATTATAAACTGTAGTGGCATAGCAAGAAGAAAATGAAAATAAAATAACCATAAGAGGAGAAAAAAAAAGACATTTTGACATTTCGACATGTCGACGACATGGGGGAAAAATCGACTTTTCCCCCTATATTGATGTTAACATGCTCGACGTATCGAACGACATGTCAACATGTCTCTCAACATTTTGAACCCTGAGTAGGAGTAAAGATTATTAAATTTCAATCGACATATCAACGTAGACATTTTTTTATGTGTTATTCGACGTTAATTTGATTGGTAAATCGATATTTTTATATTATTTTAAAAACTCAACAAAAAATTAAATATATAAAAAAATATTACTAATATTGACCTAATATTAATATTGATAGTTTTAAATTTATTTAAAAAGATTGAAATATTTATTTATTAATTAAAATATTTTTTACAAAAATATTTTATTTCTTTAACATTTTTAGAAATATCCACCGTAAAATTGATACTTCTATATTTCTATCGACATCAACATTTAAAACGTTGGTCTTACTCTTAACTAATTGAGCTATATTTAATAATTAAATCACATGTGTTCTAGTTACTGTATTGTGTATATATTCTTAGTTGTAGTCTTTTGGTTTAAATATTTGTATGTTTGCTTCATTTTTGTTTTCTAATTTTAAAATGCTTGATTTTATCTTGATAGGTTCAACTTTTTCATTGTAGCTTTTTGCAATTTTAAAACATCTATTTTATTCCTATACTTTTTAAAGTTACTAATTGTGTCCTTATTTCTATAACCTTTTAATGGTTGAAACCCTTTTAAAGTAATTTTATAGTTTTCTCAAAAAAAAAAAGAAGTAATTTTATAGTTATATTTCAACAAATTTAATGTCTGAAATATCGTGTAAATATTACTATTGAAATAAATTAGATAAAAAAAATGACGAAATTAAAATAGTCACCTTTTTAAAATGCATAGACATATTCTAAAAATATATTGACTAAAATAAATAAGAAGATGAAAGTATAGAAACAAACGTCTTAAAAGTATATAGACAAAAAATAACCAAAGTTCTAGCTATCCACCTTGTTTATAATAATAAGAATCTTGTCTACCAATTGGATACTTTAATTATAGTGTACAACAATTTGAACACTTTTAAATAAATGGTTCATCCTAAATATTTATTTTATTATTTAATTTCACATACAATCTTATACTAGTTTCAATAGGTCTTGTTTCGTAATTTTGAGCATAATCTGGAGGATAAAATATTCATTATATTTTTTTAAGTTTGAAACTGATATATTTTTAGATGGTAATAGATATTTTATTCATTAATTTATGTTCTTCTTGACATTTGAAGTAGTTGTTATATAAATAACGAAATCTTTAAAGTTACGATGTTGATGATTGGCTATACTTTAATTGGGTGCTCTAATTACAGTAATGAAGGTTCTAAAATAAAATTGTATGTTAACTTTTTTAATATAATTTTATACTAGTTTTAAATAGGCTTTATTTCACCCTTCCAACGTGACATAGTGAATAAAATATTTATTATCTTATTTGAAGCTGAAAGTTGATTATTCTCGTCAATCTCTAAGATGGTATTAGGTGTTTTGCCTGTTGAATTATGCTGGGATTGACATTTGAAATCGTAGTTGTTGTTGTATAGATAATGAATTCATTTAAATTATACAGATTATTGAAAGTTATACTTAAACTTCCTCCTCTAATCATAGCGTAAAGTAATTTAATTGTTTTAAAATAAATTTCGTCCTCGATATTTATGTTATTTTTAATTTCATATGTAATTTTATACCCGTTTTAAATAGGTATTCTTTGTCCCTTCCAAGCATGGTTAGGTGGATAATTTTTTTTATTATTTTATTTGAAGTAAAATATACAACCTTTGTCAAATTTTTAAATGGTAGTACATGTTTTACTCATTGAATTATACTGGGATTGATTTTAGAATAATGGTTGTTGTATAGATAATGAAATTACTTACCTTTATTGATTGTTTGAATTTATTAAAACTGGAATACGTATAATATAAAATACGAAATTTGAAAAGTTTTTAGGTGAACTAGACGATAATATACCTATCGTGAAATATATTTCACTAGATAAAGTAATAATGTGGGGGTTAAATTATATATTTGGTTGATCAATTTAATCATTATACTTTAAAATATTGAATTTCAATTTGTATACTTTAATTAATTAAATTTTATAATTGTCCTCTACGACGAACATTATTAATTTTTACAATAAATTAACATAGACTCGTAAATGTCTCAACCGTGACACTGTCTCTATTGATCTAAATATCTCATTTAGTACAACTAGGGATAGAGATTAAACTCACAGTCTTTCGGTTAAATATAGATGTGTCTTGACTAATAGAACTATGTTTATATCAAACTATGTTCATCTAATTAAGGAGGTGGTTGTTGACACAAACTAATTATTTATTGTTCAAGCTCGTATGATACTTCTCTATTCCACTTGTACGGTTTCATGTACCTTCCCTTACTTACAACCAACAACGGGTTTTACGTTTCCTTTTCAATGTTTTTTCATCACTCCTCTTGTAATTTTTTAGTGGGTGTGTTATCATTTTCTCGAATCATCTTATAATTATCATTAAGCTTGGAACCCAATATATAATAAACATATGTTTCGTATAGTAATACTGTATATTAAAAACACAGTACTTTGTTAAGTGGGTAACACATAATGTAGAGAGTCTGACACCTCTCCGATGCTAAAAGGTCAAAAGGATAAGTGTTGTAAGTTTTGAATGGAAGACTCGTATAACCAACAACAATAACTCTAACTATCCTAAGGAAGATGTCTAGCTCTCCAGGAAGTCTAACCTTCTCTTTTTGCATAGTTCAAGAACCCACTGAAGCATAAACTGAAATATCATGAAGGTAGAAAGTCGTTATTAACTAATTTATTCACAGCATAAAAAGATTACTCCATTTGTCGTTGTTGATATGAATAACATAAACTATGTTATATCATTCTACCATAGAATTTGCCTTGAGGGGTTAGTCCAATGGCTTCTACGAGGAAGGCAAACGCAAATAAGGCTCAAGAGCTCGTTAAGAAGGGCATCAAATATCTTTACTTTAATGATTGACTAGCATACTTACTGTTTTTCCCATGTCATCATTCATAAACTTGTGTTTTCATTTGCTAACATACCTTCCATAACTTGATTAATTAATTCTAGATGATATATATCATACCTTCCATAATTTGATTAACTAATTCTAGATGAATATATATATATATATATATATATATATATATATATATATATATATATATATGATGAATATATATATAAAATGTTGGTCTCGTCGTCATTTCTCATTGCATGGTTCTATTTGTGTTATATGTCATATAAAATATTTACTATTTTTCTATAATATACTATTCATAAATCAAATATTCATAGTTGTTCCAAATCAATCCATTTGCATTTCAAATGGAGCAAAACATTGTTTTTGCATATATCACTTACCAAAATCCAAGAATTGTGCACGTTGACTTATCCATCATTCAATACACGTTTTAATATTATCGATCAATGAGAAACACAATTTTACTCGTCACACAAACAACCTCAATACAAACAAGCTAGAAAAATTCAACGATATTACAACAACAAATCTAACATATATTAGGGGATGATCCTCATAGCGTATTGAATTTCATGTCTGTTATTTTTCTATTAAGAAAATGAAGTAAATGAAACCTACCGCATGCCTTAATGAATTGATTACCTGCCAAGGGAACAAAACCCATCATTGGATCATGTTTAAGGCCCTAACTCAAGTAATATGATTTATAAAAAAAAATAAAAAATTGAATGAGTAACATATGGTTCTAAAATTATTTAAAAGATGTATATAATTTTTAAAATGTAATAATTCGTCAATCTTTACGTTTATATTTTATATGGTATACTTTAATGTATATATTAATTAACTACATTCGTAAAATAACAAATTAAATCACATATGACCACCATCTCTAATTGACCTACCTGTTGATTAAATATAGTTTAATGTGTTGTTACTATTTGAAGTCCATCTAAAGTAACTTAAAAGCTATCTTCGATATACTCTAAATTAGTACTTGCTATGGATGAAGTAAAGCAAAACTAAGAATACGAATTGGACGCTCAAAACCTGACAAGCCAAACCCAATATCAAGCGGTAGCCCGAGAAGTCAAAGTCTGAGACTTGAGAAACGGACCCAACCCAAAGACCAAAGACCAAGACCCACAATTGATCATGCATAGTTGGATGCGACTTAGCCAACTACACTTGCTCGATGTGTTGTTCAGACGATCGGTCGGCCATAGATCAAGTCGATTAGCCTACAATCAGTTTGTACATGTCTTATCTCGATGTTATCTTTTGAATTACATAATGGGCCCACAAGGTAGAAGATCTCAAAATATAAGGAATTCGAATCGCTTTTATCTAAGAAATTCGAATTGATCTAAATAATTTAAATTCGTGTGATCTTATTAGGAAGCAATTCAAAAAGAGAATATATCCTATTAACCCTATTTTTTTTTCCTTTATGAATATTACACAACGAAATCTTACTTATTGTTGCACTTCATATAAATTCGATTTGACTTAGTGATCAGAGTATGTGTCGTGTTCGTGTGGCTAGCACCACATCTATGTGTAATTCTATATTGTTTTGCATTTATGTATAATATCATTCATTTTTTATATAAAGTGAGAATTTGACAATTAAGGCCATCTAAATTTACGCATAAAAAGTAATTATTCCAAAAGCACTAATTTAAAATTATTTTTTAACAATATAAATTTCATCACGTGGCTAAATATGAAAATATTAAAATTGAAAAACGAGTGGTATATGCATTCATCACGTGGCCACTGGTCTACATAGCCGGTTGAATGAATAAACCAAAAAGCCCAAGCCCAGGTTTACCGATGGCCCAATAGTCCCAGCCCAGGCCCATTTAATGGGCCCCATTATAGAGAACGATAGTATGAATTTGGAACGTCGATATAAACCCGTACAGAATCAATGGCGGAAGCTTGAGCCAGGTCACGGATCCTCGTGAAACGAAAACAAAACGCGGGGATTAAGGGCGCCAAAATTTAGAAAAAATTTCCCTCGTTCTTTACAACTCTTAATATTACCCTCTCCCATTTCCTCTGCTCATGCGTAATTTCCCCGTTCCTGAACCCACCGATTCAGCGCCAGAGGACACAAAAATGGCCGGCGGAGGATCTTCGAAGTCGAGGAAGAGAGTGGAGGCTACTCCGGCGGACGCCGCCGTCGCCACTGGCCCTTCACTCGTTCGAGCCAAAGACGGCAGTGCTTTCGCTCGATGGTGCGTTGTTTTCTTCATTTTTCTTGATGTATGTTGTGGTTGAATGATTTTGCCTTGCTGAGAACTAAAGAAGCGTAGGCACATTGTGGAACGTCTATTTAGGCTGTGTGTTCTTACTGATTTGACGTCTATTTAGGTTTTGTGTTGGTCTTTTAATTTGTTCGTTTTTTGCGTTGATAATGTTTGGCTTTCATTTCCGCCTTGTAGTCTTGATTTAGAGTTGAATGAAATGATCGATTTCATGTTTTCGGAGGAATTGCAGTACCGACAATCTTGAGTTTCTTGATAACGAAAGAATTTGATTTATCTTGTTTTATGGCTTATTTTTTGGCTGTTGCAGTGATGAGTGCGGCAAGAGTGTTCCCGTAGCCCTAATTAGCATGCACAGCTGCAGCTTGGACGCCAAAATAAGAATGAATTTGGGTACATTATCTGTTTGGATTCCCGAATGCTTAGTTTGATGCGGTTCTTTTCTGATTTGGAACTCATACATTTCTGTTTTTTCGGCAGAGTCTCAGACTGTCGAGAAGCAAACTCAAGCTAAAAAGTCATCCGAAAGGTACTTTGTTCGTCGCTTTGCACCTATCAGCGCACATTTCCTCCTATTTAAATCCGATTGTTGCGATGAAATGAATTGTATTAAGCTGAATGATAATATGTACAGGAAAAGATCAGCATCATCTGAACCCAAGGCTAAAAAATCCAAAGTTGAGAAGAGGGGGAAGAAAGACAGAGATCCAAATGCCCCCAAACGCCCCCCAACAGCCTTCTTTATCTTCATGTATGTTAATTCCTCGCCCACTTTATGCTCCCAATAGTCAGATTGTTCAGATTTCTACAGTGTGATCATTTACTCGGGCCTTAACTGAATTCTATTATTGTAATTCTTCAGGGATGACTTCAGAAAATCATATAAAGAAGATCATCCTGATTCCAAAGGTGGTAAGGAGGTGAGCACATATCTATACTCATTTCAAAGTTTCCTGTGAGAAAACTGTATTGGTAGCCATTAGTGTTGGCTCAATCCCTGATTGAATTGAATACTCCCACTGATTTTTTAGGTTGCAAAGGAAGGTGGTGAGAAATGGAAGTCATTGACTGATGAAGTGAGTTAAATTACTTGGCATTTGGAAAGATGTTTATGTTTAGCCAGTTGTATTACCTAAACCTTGAAATGTTTGAACAGGAGAAGAAGCCTTACCAAGATAAAGCAGCTGAGTTGAAATCAGAGTATGAAAAAGCCTTGGAAAATCTCAAGAATGAGAATGAAGATGTAAGAACTGTTGAAACTTTTAATTAAGGCTTTATATCATTTCATAACTATTTTGTTTTTGTAACTATAATGTGTTAATTGTTTGTTTTGTAATATAGTTTTTATAAACGTTTATCAAACGGGATCTAACTGTTGAAATGCTAATGTGGGATTTTTGTTTAGGATGAAAAGGAGGCAGAAGAGGCTGCAGAGAAGGAAGTGGAAGAAATTTCAGATGAAGAGTAGGGATATTATTTTGCATGCTACTAGGGTTTTGGGTTTTGTAATAGCAAATGGCTAGAAATAGAAACAGCTTCTTCACTGCCTGGTTTGGTTTCTGTTGTAAATTCAGTGTCTAATTTAGTGAAAACTGCTGTTGGATTCTGTGGTTGCTTTTAAACTAAAATCGACCATTGATTTTTTGATTAATTAAAACGATCTTTAGTTGTAGTTGGTAAAGGAATGGTTAAAAAACACATTTTTTTTTCAGCTTTTGAACTTTCAAAAGTGACAATCTAATGTTTGTATTTACATTAATGGCTGCCAACTAAGAAATGGGATGTCATTATTATCTGAAAGGGATAGTGACTGTGAGAGTTTTTGAGAGGTGGCTCCAGCTCATCGCAATCCTACTGTGCAACCTACCCAGGCAGAAATTTCCCAAGAAATGTTTACTCAGAGACACGTTGAAAGGGTGGGGATTGACGTTTGGTTTTAATACTTTTTTTTTCCCTGAAGTCCTAAACTAACCCATAGTTGGCAGCTTCTTTATAGCCTTTGTATTTAACCTAATATTCAAATGATAAAAGACTAAATTGTAACTAATTTTAAAGTTGGATTACATTGTTATTTTAATGAGAGTACATGGACCAAATATATATGTTTGTTTTACCTAAATAAATTCATATTTGAAGTAATGTACTACTCATGGTTGTAGTTGGTTAATATTCAAATTTTATTCGATTAAAAAATTTGTATTAAATTGGAATAATTCTATAGTTTGAGATTTGATTGTATCTATTCTTATAATTCAGGGGTAAGTTTGTACAATTTGCAATCTATCACTAATAGTGTTATAATAGTTGACTTTAACTGTAACAATTTTATAAGTTTAGGGGCGATGAAGTGCAATTTCCCTTATTTTATAATGTTTAAGTACAAGATTTTTGAAAATTTAATTATAATTGGCTGAAAATGCTTTTTAAAAAGTAATTTCAAGGTCCTGTTTGCTTACTCGTAGTTGTAATGAGAATGAATCGGAACGAGAATGTTCGAATAGTAAACGCTTCCTTAGTGCTCCATGAACATTGAATAAAAAATACTCCAACTTTAGGGTAGTTGAGTATAAATTGAGCTATATATGGAGAAAAATCTTTGTTTATTATAAATTTTTTGGAATCGTAATCAGAATTTCTTTTTAAATGTTGTTTACTAAAAATCGAAATCAGATATATAACAATTACTAGATCTCGTTTTTAGTTAATTACAAATACTGATATTTTTTAAGTACAATAATAATAAAATTTAATTTAATTTATTACAAAGTAAATATTTTTTATTATAATAATTTATTTAATATTAATAAATAATAAATAATTAAAATAAAATTACAGATATTAGTTGTGAGTTCAAATCCTCTTCACGATATGTTGTATTAAAAAAATATCTATTGATATTAATTAATATAAATTTATAATATTATATAATAAAATCGCATCAAAGTATACATAGAGAAGAAATTATAAAAGTATAAAAAATAAAAATTATATGTGTCTAGTAATAAATATGTGAGGCTCACCGGAATTATAATGAGATTGATGGAGTGTAAAAGATTACATCAAAATGGAGACTGAAAATTTTGAAGTGGGTCTCACCATTTGAACAAGAGACTGAAAATTTTCATTACCGTGGGTAAGTAAACGGGTCTAAATCACTCATAATAAGTTTTTTTTTTATTTATCTTTTTCTTTTTTCAAAAGGTGTTTAGAAAAATGTTTCAGAAGTACTTTTGTCAAAGTGGAACATTCACATCGTGCAATATATACAAAATCAATTTTGGACTTTATCTTAATGAATAAAAGGTAGCAAGAAAGCTGGATTCTACAATCTCATGGTAACGTCTTCCATTTTTATACATCTTTTCCTTTTCTGAGTTTTGGAAAAAAGTGTATGCTGGGAAAAGAAAAACACGATTCTTCCACGTTTCTTAAAATGTACTGCATCATTGCATGGTTTTAACTTCTAAAAATTTAATTACCATAAAATAATTTTTTTTATTTATATTTGGAACAAATTAAAAATGAGAACCAGAAAGAAAAAACGCTTTTTATCGTTTCTAAAATTTCAAACAAGAAAGAGGAACAAGAAACGATAATGTTACCAAACATACCTATCGACGTATTTTTAAAATATCCATTTTAATCTTATATTTTTAAAATTAAGAAGTGACAATTTTAGTCTCTGTTAAAAAAAAATTAACACAAATTTATACACAATCAAAATCGTTTAATACAAATTTATGACTACATCTCAAAAAATTTAGTGAGTGAAATGTTAAAATATTGATTGAATAAATGAGATAAAAATAAAAATAAAGGAGCAAAATGTTTATTTTTTAAAAATATAGAAGAAAAAGACATAATTTTTCATTTTATAGATTATTTGTTATGACACCTATATATGGATAGATGCATCTCTTCATCAAATAATTATTTTTCATCGGATACACCTTTTCACTCCAATAGTTATAACTCTTTTGGATTAAACTCCTTAGTTTCATCGAATGGTCACAACTTTTTTGGATTTGTTATCTCAACAGACACTTATAGTATTTATAGTATGTATTTAAAAGTTGGGGGCAAAATGAAGAGGTAAAGATTCTCCTCCATAGCCCCATTTACAGTATAGATTAATCTGAGCATAATTAAGATACTTGTTACCATCTCAAAATTCGGTGTTAGATTGAACTTAAAAAAAAAAGAACCTCCATTTATAACCAATCCACACCTAAGTTTTATTTATATAACAAGTAAAACTTCTTTGGGATCAATCAACGACCCTTTCCCAAATTATACAAGTTCTATATAGATGATCGTGCAAGTAAAGCACTCTATTTATAACCACAATTCACTGAATCTAGATGAGAACTTATTGAATGAGGCGACCGCAATGTAGCTACTCCCTAATAATTTGAAAAATTATATGCCTGCATATGATAGTGTAACGTTACCGATTATATCGCGAGGACCTATCTTTTCTTTGATTGAGTTCATTTTCCACCCCTCAGTGACCTCCGTCTTTGGGCTCCTTTGGAATCTTCTGTAAATTGCAACGCTGTGAACATACAATAGTGGTGACTGCAAACCAAAATCAAAATCAAGAGCGGAGAAAAGTGAAATGAATTTACCTTTTTTCTACCTTACAAGGCCCAAGTTGAGGATTCCCCAGGAAGTGTTGGGCCATGACCTGTCCTTGGCCTTCATCAAAAGAACCCTTCCCCAAGCAATCCAGCCCTCCCATGGCATCCTCTTGTCCCAAGCGCTGCCCCATTCCAGCATCAGCCGCACCCCTTCCTCCGCCGCTCTCGCCGCCTCCTCGAACCGCCCCTCCCCCAAATACAGCTGCCCCAGCGCCACCCGCGGCTCCCCAGCAAACGGATTCTTCTCCACCGATCTCAACAGCAGCTCCTCGGTTCTATCGGACATTTCACAAACACCTTCCCAGTACAAATCTCTTGCGGTAATTTGATCGTCTGCGTCGATGATTCTTGTGCAGTTTTTGAAAATTGGTGGAATTACCAGCTCTAGATCCTCGTCTCTCTCTGTTTTGAGCCCTACGTCACCGGTTTTCTTCCTCTGTGCGATTGTAATGGCTTCCTCTCTCGCGATTAGGGTGTATATGGCTCCCATTCTCGACACGGAATTCATCCAGAGTCCAGGCTTGCCGTTTCCAGGCCAGAGAGATTTGTAATTGTTACCTGTGAATTCGAGGCGGCCGTTGGAGTTATCGAACAGTGAATCTTGGAATCCGAACAATTGATCGCTGAAATCGGCCATTGTCATCGTGAGGAAAATCGCAACCACTCGCCTCGAAACCGCAACGTCTTCTCCGGTTTTAATGTGCTTCACGGTTACGCCATCGGCAGGGAGAATCGACTGTAATTTCTTTCTCCACGCTTCTTCGTCGTTGAATCGTCCGTTTTCCACGGCGTCTTTCAGCGATGCCTCGGAAACCTTGAGGTGTTCGACGAGTTCCGAATCGGAGTAGTGGAAAAGAAGATCGTCGTGAATCAGAGGCTGCCGAGGGACGATACAGAACAAATGAATCAATCGCTCCGCCGCGTCGCCGACATGGCTACGAACAACATCGCGGCCAGTGGAAGGATCGAAGATGGCGAGATTGACGTAGGAATTGGAGTAAGCCGAGTGGAAGAGGCCGCACAAACAAACCGGCTCTGGCGCTTTCCAGATCTTGAGAATTCGGTAGATATCGACAAGATGATCGAGGAAGGTGCCGTGCTTGTGCCAGCACTCGCCGGCGCCGACGGAGCGGAGGACGGAGATGAGAGAAGGAAGGTCCGTGTTAACCTTTTCGAGCTCGCCGCGGAGGAAGGGACGAACAGAGTCCAAAAGAGCCTGAAAGTGAAGGTTCTCCGGCAACGATTGATCGGAGGAAGACGACGGCATGGTGGCGAGAAAGAGGAATGTCGGCCGGAGAATGAATCGGAAATGGCCGCCGGAAAGATGAAGATGAAGATGAAGATAAAAGATGAGGGGAAGAAACGTAGTGATATTGAATACGATTTGTTTGAATGATTCTGGTCGAGAGCCATTTTATTATATAGTTTTTTTTTTTCTTTTTAAAATATTATTTTTGTCTCTCTCATTTTAATGTTGGTTTATTTTTGCTTCCTACAAACCTACTTAATACCCATAATCTATAGTCTATAATATAATATATTAAAAAAGGAGAAGATAAGAAAATTATATAATATAATATATTAAATAGGTAGAAGATGAGAAAACTATATAATATAATATATTAAACAGGAAGAAGATAAGAAAAATATAGCATAATTCAACTATAAGTGACATATATTCTTTCCTTCGAGGTCAAAGATTCGATCTCTATATCTCACATTGTTGTAAAAAAATAAATAAATATGAAAGAAAATTTTGAACATTTTTTTAATTGATGGAGTAATTTACCAATTATGTCATTAATAATTTATTATAAAAATTAATTATCAACCATAAGAAATATATAGGATTAAAAGGTTAAAATGCAAAAAAAATTTCCTACAACATATGGTTAACTTCTTTTTTAACCACAATTTAAAAAGTTGTGTAACTTTTTATCCTTGTTATAAAAATATAAACTTTCTTTCTTCATTTTTTTCAAAATACTTAGAGTTTCTTTCTTTCTTTGTTTCTCATCTCAAAGTATTGTTCTCAAAGATTATTCAATTTTGAAAACGTCCCAAGATGTTGGTTGTATATTCATCATGTTGCAAATGATGCATGTGTTAGATCAATATCTAAGATCCTAGACTTAGCTTGCAACATTATAATTTCACAATTTTATCGAGTTGAATAATAGTGTTTGTCAAGCAATTATCAAGAGTCAGTATATCTACTTTAAAGATAGTATATAATTGGGTTTGAATTTTCCTTATTAGTGTATTTTTGTATTATAGTGTTTGTTTAAAAAAATGGTAATGCATTGACCAATTACTGAGTTCGTTTTGTTAAAAAAAAATCATGTAAGTTAAATACCTCAAAAAGTTTTTTAATTAAATGTAAATAGTAAATTAATAAATCAATTATCAACAATAATTTGTAAGAACTCTAAAATGTTGGAACATACAATTTTGATCATTTTATTTTCCGATAATATAATTTAAAGAAATTTTCTTTAATAGTTTTAGTTTTATAAAATGAAACTACAGTGATAAAATATCATTTTTAATAGACAAACAAAGTATTTAAAAAATAATGTGTTCAAATAAAGTAAAATTACATTTTCAAAATGAAAATATAAAAATACTTATATTTTTAATTAATATATTAAAAATAATGAAATGTAGCCTAAAATTAATTATAAAAGTAGTATGAGATAATGCAATCTAAACGCGATAACAAAGATTAAAGGATTAAATTAGTAAAATAATTTTATTTCAAATTACGATGTTACATATAGTCAAATATTTGAAAAAAGTAATTGATGGTTTAGGTAAAATAGGATTTTTAAAATAAAAAATATTAAAATACTTATACATTTTTTAATTGATATATTAAAAATAATGAAAGGTAACTATAATTCATTAGAAAAGTGGTAGTAGGTGGTATGAGATAACTAATTTAAAATATTTCATATATTTTCATTTTTAACATATTTTATTGATAATAATAATTAATTATTTTTACTTATATTTTTATAATTACATTAATTATAAATAATAAAATAAAATTATCCATTGGTAATATATAAACAACTAATCAACTTTTTATAAATTGGTATATGAGCCAAAAAAACAAAAATAATACAAGCAATTAATGAAGTTTTTTATAAATTTAAATACTAATTGTATTGTTATAATACAAAGAAAATAAAAGAAATAAAACGTGATCCACTTGCTAAAAAATTACTACTATATTAAAAAGCTTTAATATTAAAAAAATATTTTTGGACTAAGATACATCTTAATTTTATTCTTTTGTTAATTATTGTTTTTTTATTACTATTAGTGGTGTTGCTTTTTTTCTTTTATCTAGATTATTATAAAATTAATTAAATTAAAAATAATGGGTGCATTTACGTATGATATTGACTAATATTTTCAAAAAGTTCATTTAGTCTCTATACCCCTAATTTAAAAACTTTAACACAAATTCTATATAACAAACACATTTTAATATAAAGTTATTGTTACGTTTTAAGAAATATATCAATTATACTGTCGTGTTAGAAAAACATGAGATTAAAAATAAAATTTAAAATAGAAATAAAAATAGACGTTATCTTGTACATAATTTTAAAAGATGGTTGTTTTGTTTTGTTTTTTTTCTCCTTCTATTTGGAGTATGCAAATTACATTCATGACTAAGACACCTCACCCAACATGAAGACAAATTCTATGAACACTTCTCGACAACTCATTCTCAATGGTCGTATCCATTCTAGGAAAATCCACGTTGATGCGAATGAATAATTCATTTATCATTAGAAATTTTAAAAATAAAAAATTAACGATAAAGATGTGTATGAAAGTGAATAAAGAGATTTTTTCAAAATCTCCGTACTTTAAAAGTTAATTTAAAGTAAAATTGTAATGGAAGTGATTTTGATAATGACAAAACCACTTTGAGGTGTTTGAAAATAAAGGTAGAATGAGTGATTTTGAAAAAATATATTTAAGTAGAATTCATTTGTTAAAATCATTATTGAAGTGATACCTCAAAAATCAATTGTAATTTTGACAACGGCAAATCAAAATCACTCCCAAACACATCCTAAAATCATTTTAAATTGATTTTTAAGGTATTATATGGATGATGATTTTAGAAAATCAATTATACTAAAATCTATCTTTTTCAAAATTACTCATTCTATCCTGATACCATCACTCTCAAACACACATAAATAATTCCTTTAAACGTACTTAAATGCTTACGAAAATTCATAATTTACTTTCCGATATGCATTCCAAGTTTGCAACACCATAAAACTTTAGAAATGTGTTTTTTTATTAACAAAAAATACTTAAAAAAAAATATATATTTTAGTCTCAAACTTTTAACTTTGATTCATGCTGATCGTTACACTTTCAAAACATCTATTTTGATCTATATACTTTGTATAATGTCCAAAATGAACTAAAATTAAAAGTAGATAAACCAAAATAATATTTTAATTTAAACCTAAAAAAGGGAAAAAAATAATAATGCTTTCCAAAGTATTTTTAAACCATTACAACCAAACTAAACTAGCAATTAACCCATCTAAAAAATCACTAACATGAGCATAACTCAACGGTTAAGACATCTTATTCCTCTAAATGTCGAAAGTTCAATCTCTCACTCCCATATTTGCCGTAAGAAAACCAAACTAAAAAAAATCCTTTCTATTCCAGTGAACAGAATAATCCAATTCTTCAAATTTATATCATCTTATTTCACTGGTCATATCAAACTTCATTTTCTCTTAGAGTATGGGTGTGATGACATTACTTGAATGACATCTATTTTAAAGATTGTACAACTATGCAACGGTTTTTTCAAGCAAGATGCTCGAGGGAACGAGCGGATTCAAGATCTAGTATAAATGTGTGCATGTGCGAGTGTGTGTGCATGAGAAATAGATCTGTAATAAGAACTGTAACTATAATCATTAAGAAAAATGTAGATTTCTCGAGACCTTAATATATATACAAAATACCTTAAGGTGAGGAGACGATGCTCAAAATCATGACATCAAACTAATTTTATGATTTCTTTTTCTTACTATCATCAGGTTTGACAAGTTGAACAGGAGCTGCTGGTATTTTGATCCACCATTCTCTTGCCCTCCTAAAATATTTGTTACTCGTTTCCTTCCTGTATGGCATTTCCCTCGTATACGCCTCTACGAGTACCAGCATGATTATGTATTTAAATGGCAGAAATGCAAAGATTAAAGCGGCAAGAATGAGCACTAGAGCGACCGTGTCCGTTGCCTGCAAGAACGACGAGCATTAGAAGAACACTAACAAGGCCACAGATTTGCAGTTTCCAAAAGTCAAGCACATTGTTCATAAGGAAGGCATTGCAAGCTTACATAACTGACTGAGTTTACAGTTTATACATATATATGATTCTTCTATTGACGTCCAAAAAGTACAGAAAGACTAAGGCCAAAGATTCCTTAACCTTGGAAAAAAGCACTATAGCGATAGTGATTGTTGTCTTACGACCACGAAGTTTTATTCCATCCAAGTTTATTAGAGGATTTTTTAAGTTTAATGCCTCTTAAAAGGTTCCAAGGATCTACGTTTAAGTACTTTTGTAATTATCCTCTTGAATTGGAGATCTTTTTTTTAATCTTGTTGGGTCTTTAGAGGTTGTTTTGACTCCCTTCTTTGGATTGTGTTTCTTGTAAGCTATTTTTGTATCCTTTCATTATTCTCATGAAAACCCAGTTCTTTATAGAAGAAAAAACACTACAGTTAGAGTAAAAATATAAGGTGTAATAAGTTTCCCAAATGTCTTCCCAAGAAGAGTCCTCGTATTCATTTCTAGGGAAGCACCAGCTAATACCCAACGGGGACCCACAGTTTACTGCTTTCATTAAGATGAAAATTAAAATTAGAACACATACTGATACCATCACCACATACAGAAGGCACCAGAAGGTAAGTACAAGAAGGGGCTTCAATCATTGGTAATGAAAGAGAAAAATCACAACCAAAAACGGGGAGAAAAAAACTAAGAAGCAAGGCCCTAAGAGAGAAGAAGAAGATGAAGTATTCATATCCAGATACATACCTGTGGAAGTACTGCAAATAAGAGAGCTCTTATTTTTAGGAGAAGAATATTCCCATCTTGAATACATGCTTCAACTTGAGTGATGACTTCTTGTAAGGTCAGCAACTGTTCTACAGCATTTCGATTAGGAGGGGATGTGACCATGAACGGTTCTAGTGGCTTGCTTTTGCCAAAGTATCTACGGCAAAGCATGAGAGCCGCAAGAAGCACTAGAATGCATGGCAAAATAAACCTTATCCAATTCCTGCATGTCCATATGAAAAATCCAGTTATCTCCAACTCATATGACTTGGCATTACAATTCTGATGTACGAGTGAGGTTGAGAAATTAAATTGTAAGTTAAATCAGAATGCAACCACACGAAGAAGATTACTTATTTATGATGAGAAAACGACTTTCATTGAGAAAAAGAAACAGTACAGAAACTCAACCAGATGTGCCAAAGGAGACCGACCACAAGCATTAACCTAGAGCCTAGAGTGATAACTGATAATCTTAGTTATAGTCTGTTATAATTTAGTTATCAAAATCAGTTACTATTGTTGAAAGTCTTGTGTTCTTTGCCTATATATAGGCTTTGTACATTCTGATTATTAATGTGACGCATACTCTATTACTCTAAATAGAGTAGTTTATTACATGGTATTCAGAGGGTATTGACTCACGTCCTTGATCCTCCACATGTTTGCTGCCTATCCTCCTTCACTTTGTGCTTCTTCAATGGCGGATTCTCTTTCATCGAAGGATCTTGCTTCACCAATTTTTCTTCTCTCAAATATCTGCAATCTCGTCTCCATCCGTCTTGATGCTTCAAATTTTGTACTATGGAAGTTTCAATTAACTTCCATCCACAAAGCTCACAAGCTATTCGGCTTTATTGACGGATCTGTGGTTAAGCCCTCTGCAACTTTGGCATCTTCAACTTCGCCAACAGTAGGATCCTTATCTGCAGTCGTGCAATCCAATCCAGCCTATGAAGATTGGATCGCCAAGGATCATGCTCTCATGACCTTGATTAATGCCACTCTTTCACCAGCCGCTCTGTCGTATGTTGTTGGCTGCGAATCCTCAAAGGAAATTTGGGATACACTCGTCAAACATTACTCTTCAAATTCGAGGACGAACATCGTGACTCTCAAGACTGACCTACAGTCGATCATCAAGAAGCCTACTGAATCAATTGATCTGTATATCCAACGAGTTAAAGAACTCAAGGACAAATTAGCCAACATATCTGTGATAATCGATGATGAAGATTTAGTAATATACACATTAAACGGTTTGCCTGCAGAGTACAACACCTTTCGGACCTCTATGCACACTCGCGCTTCTTCGATTCAGTTTGAAAAACTCCATGTTCTTCTTGTTGCAGAGGAACTTGCAATTGATAAGCAAACTAGGCGTGATGAGTCTTTTTCCTCACCTACTGCTCTTCTTGCCTCTCATAATTCCAACTCTCATAATTCCCCTTGGAAGCAAAACATAAACCCTAATTTAGGGCATGGAAAAGCTTTCTCCAACAAGAACAAGTCGTACAATCGTGGTAAGCAGGCCAATTTCAACCCCTCTAGTTGAGGTCGAGGATTTCTAGCGAATCAATCTCTTTTTTCTCCTTCTACTGCAAATGCCAATCCCGATGGCTCTCATCAGAGAACCATCTGCCAGATTTGTCATCGCGTAGGACACACTGCCCTCAACTGTTTCAACAGGATGAACGGTAGCTACCAAGGGCGGCACCCTCCCGCACAGTTAGCAACCATGATTACAAATCAGAACCAAGCTCATCTCACTGCTGCAAATTCATCCTGGCTTGCGGATTCCGGCTGTAATGCTCATGAAACCGCCGATTTGAAGCATTTTACTACTGCATCTGACTACTCTGGTGATGATCAAATTGGTGTGGGAAGTGGACAATCACTCCCAATCTCTCATACAGGTTGTGGCATTCTACAAACTTCTTCCAACTTAAATTTGTCAAATCTTCTTAGAGTCCCTCGTATTTCTTCAAATCTTCTCTCCGTTCATCGTTTATGTGTTGATAATAACTGCATTATCATATTTGATTCTAGCTCCTTTCACATCCAGGACAAGTATTCGGGCAAGACTCTCTACCAAGGTCCCAGTGTCAATGGACTCTATCACATTCACGCCACCGCTCCCTCAAACTCTGCTTCATCACATTCTCCCCTGCCACCAACCAATTATGTTGCTCATACTGGAACACAAGTTTCTTTCTCTATTTGGCACAATCGCTTAGGACATCCGAATGATAAAACACTAAACTCTGTGCTTCGTTCTTTAAATTTGTCTCCTTGTAAGTTTACATCTTGTCTCTGTGAACATTGCTTGTATGGTAAAATGCATAGGCTTCCATTTCTGGTGTACACAATCTAGGTAGAAATCTTGAAGAGAATTGTATTCTTTAAACACTGAAATCCAGCAGCTATTTATAGGGGCTGCTGGGATAACAACCACTCAATAACTAAAATAACAGCAACCAAGAACTAACAGTTTAACTAACTAACCGACATAACCTACTAACTACATCAATTTCCCCCACCCTTAAAAAGAACTCGTCCTCGAGTTAAGGGTTTATTTGAAAGGAATCTGGTGGGCTATAAGCGTAGAGATCAGCCACGTTAAATATGGGGCTGAAATTGTAAGTTGATGGAAGCTGAAGCTTGTATGCATTCGATCCAAAGTGCTCGATTACTTGAAAGGGTCCCAATTTCTTCTTTTTGAGTTTAGAGTAAGTCCCGTTGGAAATCGGCTTTTCCTTAGATGAATCATGACTAGGTCACCTACTTGGAACTCTTTCGTTCTTCTTTTCTTGTCAGCAGCAGCTTTATACTTGGAATTGGATTGCTCAATGTGTCGTCGGACCTCCTGATGTAACTCGGTCACGCGGCTGGCCATTCCTTCGGCTTCTAGGCTGAGATCAATAGAGGAAGGTTAGCCAAATCTAAAGTTAATCTAGGGAGTTTAGTGTAGACTACCTCAAATGGGGACTTACCTGTGGTTCTGTTCTTCATGTGGTTATAGGCAAACTCAGCTTGAGCAAGCGACATGTCCCATTGTTTAGGATGATCCCCGCTGATGCATCGAATGAGGTTTCCCAAAGATCGGTTGGTGACCTYTGTTTGGCCATCAGTCTGCGGATGGCTGGTGGTGCTAAACTTGAGAGACGTGTCAAATTTCTTCCACAGTGTGCTCCAAAAGTGGCTTAAGAATTTGACATCACGATCCGAGACAATGGATTTAGGAATGCCATGAAGTCRGACAATGTCTCTAAAAAATAATGTAGCTATGGCGATTGCATCGGAGGTCTTTTTACATGCCGCAAAATGTGCCATTTTGCTGAAGCGGTCTACTACCACCATGACAGAGTCGAATCCCCGTTGTGTTCGGGGTAGTCCAAGAACGAAGTCCATGGACAGATCCTCCCATATACWTTCTGGGACTGGCAAAGGTGTATAGAGGCCAGTATTTTSCGTGGAGCCTTTATATGWTTGGCAAGTAAAGCATTTGGTGACATAGTTAAAGACATCCTTGCGGATGTGGGGCCAATAGAAACGAGAAGTGACGATGTCCAAAGTTTTATCACGGCCTAAGTGCCCYGCAAGGCCACCCGCATGAGCATYCCGCAAAATAGCCTCCCTTAAGGAAGTGTGCGGGATACAAAGTGTATTTCCTTTGAATAAATATCCTTCTACAATATGGTAGTCGTCGATGGCCATATGATTAGAACATTTGTACCAAATGTCTTGGAAGTCTTTATCGGCTTCATACAAGTCTGGTAAATAGTCAAAGGCAATAATTTCACCCTTAAGGACTGTCAAGAGGGTGTTCTTCCGACTCAAAGCGTCTGCCGCCTTATTGGTTGTTCCCGCTTTATGTTTAATTACAAAGTCAAATCGTTGGAGGAAAGACAACCAATGGGCATGCATACGACTGATTGTTTTTTGAGTATGCAAAAATTTTAAGGAAAAATGATCCGTAAACAATACAAATTCTTTGCTTAGTAGATAATGCTCCCATTGTTTTAATGCACGTACAAGGGCATAGAGTTCTTGTTCATATGTGCTCCACTTTTGACGGGATGGGCTAAGTTTCTCACTAAAATATTCTAGAGGGTGATTATGTTGAGAAATGACAGCTCCTATACCTATATCGGACGCATCTACCGCGACCTCAAAAGGGAAATCAAAGTCTGGAAGAGCGAGGACGGGGCTCTGACAAAGTTTAGTTTTAATGAGATGGAAACTATCAAGTTGTGGTTGTCCCCAGTAAAATTGTCCCTTTTTAAGACAGTTGGTTAATGGAGCTACTATCGAGCTAAAATGTTTAATAAATTTCCTATAAAATGATGCAAGCCCTAGAAAGCATKGGACATCTTTAACTGTTTTAGGTTCACCCCATTCGGCTATGGCCTTAATTTTAGAAGGGTCCATCTGAACTCTATTATGACCAATGATAAAGCCTAAGAATGATATTTCAGTAGTGACAAAAAGGCACTTTTTGATATTGATTACTAATTTGTTAACGGCCAAAGTGGTGAAGAGTAATTTAAGATGTTCTAAGTGGTCATGCATATTAAGGCTATAAATGAGAATATCATCGAAGTAAACAAYAATAAATTTGTTAATGAAAGGGAACAAAACCTGGTTCATAAGTCTCATGAAGGTACTTGGGGCATTAGATAGCCCGAATGACATAACAAGCCATTCAAATAAGCCCTCATTCGTCTTGAATGCGGTTTTCCACTCATCGCCAGGTCTAATGCGAATTTGGTGGTAGCCACTCTTGAGATCAACCTTAGAGAAGATAGTAGCGCCGCCCAATTGGTCCAAAAGATCCGTAATCCTTGGTATGGTAAACCGATATTTCACTGTGATTTTGTTTATGGCACGACTGTCGACGCACATTCGCCAAGTGCCATCCTTTTTGGGAGTCAAAAGGGCGGGCACCGCACAAGGGCTCAAGCTTGGTTGTATATGCCCCTTATCAAGTAACTCTTGGATTTGGTCATGAAGTATCTTATATTCGGCTGGGCTCATTCGATAATGTGCCAAATTAGGGAGTGGTGCCCCTAGTAAAAAATCAATGTTGTGTTGGATGTTTCGGAGAGGGGGTAGTCCTATTGGTGTTTCCAGTATGGACTCAAATTGTGTCAATAATTGACTGACAGCAGGAGGAATATTCGAGCTATCATCCATGGAACCAAACTCTTTAACAATCAACCC